CAATGGCTCCTTCCCAAAGCTGCCTGTAACATTCGTCTCTCTGACTGGCAGATGTCTCTTGGCTGTGGCATCTCTAACATCTTGGGGGTCTCCACCACAACTCAGGCTTTACCTTTACAGCTTCAGGCAAGGCTTTTTAGTGCCTCCTTGAAGAGACTCATAGATAGCCACAAGTTGCCATGGTTACGTGCAACCATGGAGGAAGAACGCATGGCTCCCTTAATCTTGCTTTTTTTTTTTCTTTTCTTTTTAACCTCCAAAACTGTGGCCATGGGAACAACACTGCCGGGTGTGGCTGCCAGCTTGGGGTTGGTTGCAATCAGTGTTTGTATGTAGTTGTTTTCTAGTTGGAGCCTGGACAGCTTTAGTGCAGACAGGGGAGACCCAGCTTGCGAGGTTTCAGAGGGGAACAAAGACTCTGTCTAGAGACCATTCCTGTGATATTTTGGTGAAGAATCTGGCTGTATTCTGCCCATGTTCTGAGAAAGGACATGAAGCTGAATTAGAGAGTGATGGACTAACTTCTTTGACAGAGGGAAATTTCCAGATAGTCTAGCGTTAGCTGAGCCTGCGGCTTGGTTATTTCTGATAATCCTGATGTAGCTCCACAAATAATAAGAGCAACAAGCAGGGCTGAAAGAAATGAAAAGTGCAGTTCAGAGGTGCAAAGAGTAGGTAGGAAGTTGAAGACTGAGATTAGCAGCTCAGAGGAGAGGCCTCCTTTGGCACGGGGACGGCAGGGAAAAGGTGCCTTGGAGCCCAAACCTCCAGCCAAGGCTCCTGTGAGCAAGTATTCAAATGCATGAACCTTTGGTGATATTTCTCATTTAAATCAGCTCAGGGACCTCCTACTGTCACGTGCTCTCCTAGAGCCCAGAATGTGTGTGTTTGTGTGTGTGTGTGTGTGTGTGTGTGTGTGTGTATGATATGTATGAACACACACACACACACACTTAATTTTTAAATTTCACTTACATTTTAAGCTTTGTTTAATATTTCTTTTCTCTTTTTGAGACAAGGTCTCAGGCTGGCCTCAAGTGCTTGGTGAGAGGAAGACGACCTTGAGTGTCTGATCACCTGCCTCCACCTCCTCAGTCCTCACCCTTGATTTGTGAGGTACTGGGGATTGACCCAGGACTCCGTGTGTGCTTAGCAAACCCTTTGTTATCTGAGGTACATCCTTGGCCTTAAGGTGTAGTCAATCTTTCAGTCTTGTAAATCGCAGGATTTGAGCAATGTGTGCTAGCTGATTTTATGTCAACTTGATCCAAGCTAGAGCCGTTTGAAAGGAGGGAAGCCTCCATTGAGAAAATGCCCCCATAAAACCAGGCTGCAGGCAGACCAGAATTTTAATTAGTGGGTGATGTTAGAGGGTGCAGTCCACTGTGAGTGAGGTCACCCCTGGTTGGTGGTCCTGGGTTCTATGGGAACTCAGGCTGAGCAAGCCTTTTGGAGCAAGCCAGTAAGCAGCTCCCCTCCATGGCCTTGCATCAGCTCCTGCCTCCAGGTTCCTGCCCTGTTTGAGTTCCTGTCCTAACTTCCTTCAGTGATAGACAATGAATGTGGAAGTGGAAGGCTTCCTTTCCTCCCCAGCTTTTCTTTTGGTCATGGTGTTTCATCACGGCGATAGAAACCTAACTAAGACAAGTTGGTACCAGGAGTGGGTGTTGCTGTGACAGACCTGGCCATGTTGTTTGGGGGAGGATTGTGGAAGGGCTTCGGAACTTCGGGCTAGAAAAACCATTGAGGATGAGAGCTCAGTGAACTGTTCAGTGCGACCTTCCTTCTGCTGGCTGAGGTTTTTGTCCTGTCCGGTTCCCGCAGTTGTTAAGTCCCAAAGAAATCACACAGAGGTCTACATTAATTATAAACTGATTGGCCCAGTATCTCAGGCTTTTCTTATTAACTAATTCTTATAACTTAAAGTAGCCCATATTTCTTATCTCTGTTAGCCGTGTGGCTTGGTACCTTTTTCAGCAAGGCAGTCACATCTTGCTTCTTCTGTGGCTGGGTCACAACTGCAGACTGCGCTTCCCTCTTCCCAGCATTCTAGTTGCTTTGCCTCAACTTCCTGCTTGGTCGCCCTGCCTATATTTCCTGCCTGGCTATTGGCCAATCAGCATTTTATTAAAAATAATAACAAGCAACAGGATAAAAGACCACTGTCCCACAGCATTGGAAGACAAAAGCATGTTGAGAACGGTGTAGATGTTAGAGACCTTGTGAAGTTTCAGAGGAAAGCAAAGACGCCACTGGGCCTTTTGTGTGAAGAATCTGTGGTTCTGGTTATGTGGAGTTGAAGAATTGGCTGTGATTAGGAAGAGATCAGAAACACTAATGTAAAACCTTTACTGGGAAAATCGGTGCTAGCCAGCGGGAGCTAAGAAGTTGGTGGTTCCCTAGGAGTCAGTACACAGAAGCTGTGTTCCAGAGTGGCCAAGGTTGTCCCTTGCAGCTGAATTTGGTAGTCTAAGGCTCACCCAGGTGGTACTGTTTTTTTGGTTTTTTTTGTTTTTTTCCAAGACAAAGTTTCTCTGTGTAACAGTCCTGGCTGTCCTGGAACTTTCTTTGTAGAGCAGACTGGCCTTGAAATCACTGAGTTCTGCCTTCCTCTACCTCCCAAGTGCTGGGATTAAAGGCGTGCACCACCACTGCTGGGGTGGTAGTAATGGTTTCGAAGGTAGGAAGGGGTCTGGAGAGCAGCTGAGGCCGGGCACTGTGAGAGGCCAGGATAGACCACTGGTGAAGGAGCAGCCACAGTAGCAGTTGAAACCCCAGGACTGAAAGGGTAAGTTGAGGCTTGGCACCATGAAGAGAGCCCAGGAGGTGCTATCGGTGAACGTGCAGCCCAGTTGCAGCAGAGACCCCAGTGTTTTGGAGATGCCAGTGCCATGGGAGGACCACCAAGAACAGCAGCGGTGGTGGAACAGAGCCAGACGGAGCCTGGAAGACGAGCTGTGTGTGCTGCAGACAACGGAGCCGGAGAAGCCCCCCAAGCTCTGAAGAAGCTCAGAAGATAGTGAGTTATTCACAGATAGAGGTTGATTTGGCTTTGTTTGGTTTGTGACTGTGCCCTGATTCTTCCCTCTTGAAGTATGAAAGTATTTAACTTATTTTTATTTTTGTAGGAACCCACAGTTGGATTTTAAAAGAAACTGGACATTTATTTTTTTTAATATCATATTGTTATTGATCATTTGGGAATTTCATATCATGAACCCTGGTCACACTCACTTCTCAGTTCTTCCAGTCCTGCCCTATAACCCCTGTGAGTCCTCGAAAGAGGAAACAAACAAAAACAGAAGTCCAATTTGTGTTGCCCATATCCGCACCGCAGCATGGTCAGACTCCCAGTGGCCAGCTTCCTAAAGAACACCGAGTCTGTCCGCCCGCACCCCTCCCAGAAGCCATCTCTGCGGATAGCTACACTTCAACATCCTTATCACGAGTTTTAAGAGTTCTTTTTGATGGCTTTCTGTCTAGGCTGTTATTTTGGGGGGCTTGTGGTGAAGTGGGGAGCGAGGTTAGGAATTGCCACAGAAACCTTCTATGTTTCTCTTTCTCAACTGTGAGTCTTCAGTAGCTTCCTTGCCCTTCACAGTCAGTGGCAACAAGGATTGTGAACTTCACGTGTTCTCCCAAGTCAGCACGTGCCGTGACCTCAGCATGGAGACTGGGCATTTTAAAGAGAGCGAATTTTTAAGTGTTTGAACTCTTAAGGAGAGATGAGGTCCTGAGCCTCCCTGATGACTGGCAGGATTCGGTTCCTGTGGTTAGGGCTGAGGGTCTCAGTTGTCACTGGTCAGCATCTGTGTGGCCTCCGTTCTTACCTCCTTGCTGTATGCACTTCTCAACAGGGCATCTTGCTTCATGAGGCTCACAAAGGAGAGAGAATCCCAGAAGAAGCAGGGTAGCCAATCCTGTGTGATGTGATCCCAGAGGCATTGGCCATTTGATCTATTATAAGTGAATCATTGGTTCTGCTAAAGGCTTCTTGACAGTGGCCTGCCATCTCTGTGAAATGAGGGTCCTTCATGAACTTTTGAGACAAGGCCTTATGTAGCCCAGGCTGATCCCAGAATTGGCTGTGCAGCCAAGAATGGCCTTGAACTTCTGATCTCCTGGCTACTGGGATTACAGGTGTACACTACCATACATGGTTTATATGCTGCTGGGATTGAACCCAGGGTTTCATCTATGCCAGGCAAACCTTCTAAAAGCTGACATACCTAGACCATAGAAGGCTCATGAATAGATATGCTCTTCAGAAGATCCTGAGAGATAGGGGGTGCTCAAGCCTGTTTGCCTGCTCCCTCCTCCCGGCACTGAGCCCTGGCTCCCTTCCCAGAAGAGCAAACAAGGCTTGGGGCAAGCCTGGTGTACTCCCTGCCCTGGCCCTCACTCTGGTATCACAGGGCAAAAGGTTATTTCTGGTTGGGTGCCTTCCAGATATATCGTGCTTGGACAGCAACTTGATCTCAAACCACCGCAGTCCCAAGGACTTTAAATGAGACGCTGTATGAAGCCCTGGTGGCAGTCGAGAGCAGGTCTGGCTACACTGGTGGGGGCACCATCCAGCCATGCCGACCGTGGACGATGTCCTGGAACAGGTTGGGGAGTTCGGCTGGTTCCAGAAGCAAGCCTTCCTGTTGTTGTGTCTAATCTCCGCTTCCCTCGCTCCCGTCTACGTGGGCATCATCTTCCTGGGGTTCACTCCTGATCATTATTGCCGGAGTCCCAGGGTGGCTGAACTGAGCCAGAGATGTGGCTGGAGCTTGGAAGAGGAGCTGAACTTCACCGTGCTGAGCCTGGGGTCTGAGAACAAGGCCCCCTTCCTCAGCCAGTGCATGCAGTATGAGGAGGACTGGAACCAGACCACCGTTGACTGTGGGGACCCACTGTTCAACCTGACTGCCAACAGGAGCCACCTGCCGCTGAGCCCCTGCCAGCACGGCTGGGTGTACGACACTCCTGGCTCCTCCATCGTCACCGAGGTACTGATGGGCTCTGCATGTTGGGTAATGTAGAGACTGAAAGCAAATCCTGGATGGGTCCGTGTCTTTCCAGGGAGGAAGGAGAGTCTGACTTCCTGTCTGCTGTGTGGCAGCAGGCTCTGCAGTGGCCTCTGCGTCCTTCCCACCGACGAAGGACCGGAGAGGACACTGAGGCACAGGTGCTATGTGGAGAGCTTGTTTTGTTTTTTAAATTTATTTTGCATGTACCCATGTATATGGGTATATATGTATATGTGTTTGTCATGATGCACACTTGTGTATATGTGTGTGTGTGTGAGTGTGTGCAGGTCAGAAGACAACTTGTAGGCGTTCTCTCCTTCACGTTGTGGGTCCCAGGGCATCAGGCTTAGCAGCAGGCACCTTTATCTCCTGAGCATCGCGGGGCTCAGGCATGGCCTTGTCTCCTGTAACTTGCTGACTCATCTCAGAATCTACCGTCTTCACCGTGTCCTGCTTCCCTGTCGCTGGTGCTGTGGAATCCCCTCATCTCCTCAGGTGGTGACAAGTGGGCCAAGCATTGGCCATGGAGATAATATGGGAATTGTCTTGGCTCGGGTCACAGTATGTGATACCAGTTCTAATTAGCTGAATTTATCCGGGTAAGTTACTCGGTTTCTCTGCGCCTCGGTTTCCCTGTAGGTAAGCAGGATTACCATAACTCCATGCACCGTAAGGATCAGCTGAGAACCAAGAGGCTGACCGCAAACACAAACACAATTACACTGTTTATGGCCTGGCGTGATGATATCCAAGGGCCTCGACACCATCATTTAGTTGACTATGCTCTTGACGGTGAGAGTCTTTTCTTGTTTTTGTTTGTTTGTTTGGAGACAGGGTCTCACTATGTAGCCCTGGTTAGCCTGGAACTTCTCTTTGTAGACCAGGCTGACCTTGAGCTCACAGAGATCCTCTTGCCTCTGCTAGCGAGTGTTAGGATTAAAGGCGTGCATTGGCACACCCAGAAAGAGGGTTTAGCAGAAAGTTCTACTAGATGGCTTTCCCCCTTCATGAGTTCTGCTGAGAGTGTGGGCAATTCGTCCCATTGAGAGGCCTCAGGCCCAGGCTCAGAAGCTATATTAGCAGTATCTTGCCTATGGCCAGAGCACAGCTTACCTGGACTGAAAGGCCTCAACATTGTCCTCCTCACCCATACTCTCTTCCCCCAACACATAGGACTACTTGGGATCTCTTTCCCCCTCCTTTCTCATCTTTCCTTAATGGTTTCAATGTCAGTACAGGTAGGGCTGCTCCTGGGAGGAGTCCCTTCCCCCTGGCCTGCTTAGCGCTCCTCTTGGTCACCTGCAGAATGTCTGCTCAACACCCTAATTTATGTGCTTGGATATGCATGTTGGTCCTCGGGTATCTTCCAGTGACAGACACCAAGTTAGATGGCTCACCGTGCAAGGATGCTCAGCTGGGAAATCTAGGATCTGACCAGCACTGTCTACTTGGTCCCAGGATACCCTTTGCTTGGGCTCAGACTGACTTCCAACATGCTGTATAGTCAAGGGTGATCCTGAACTTCTGGTCCTCCTGTCTCTACCTCCCGATTACTGGGATTACAGGTGTTTAGATACCACCACGTAGCTTATACCATCCTGGGACTAGAACCCAGGACTTCATGCATACCAGGCAAATACTCTACCAACTGAGTTACATTCCCTAGGTCTACCTGAGTTCTTTTCTTGGCCTCTTTGTCATTCCTCACCTCTTGTGAAGCCTGAAACCCTAACTCCATCTTGATTCTGATTCACCCAGCAGGTCTAGATAGAACTGTTCCTCTATATAAACAGACCAAACTCTTTCATTTGGAATCAGGGTAGGGTTATTATGCTTAGCAATAAAAATAGAGTGTTCCCAGTTAAAATGTTAGAGAAACAACAACTGTTTCTATGTAGCACAGGCTAGCCTCAAACTCACAGTGATCCCCTTGCCTCGGCTTTCCAAGTACTGGGCATGAAGGTCTGAACTGCCACACCTGGCTAGCATCTATATATAGCTCGTCTCTGGGCGACATGAGACTCTAGGCTAAAAAACAAAACAACCCTCCAAAAAGATAAAGAGGTAAAGTGATTTGAGAAACGTCATTCATCATGGGTGTTGTGGGACAGAAAGACAGAATGTGTGCGGTACAGACACTGCATGGGGTTTTGATTAGTGTGATTTAAGGGTGCTGACTTAGGGAGTGGGATAGGAGCGATGGAGGCCCAGATGGGAACCTGGAGGACGTGGCCACCTGGGCCGGGGTGGTGCCCTGCAGTGTCAGGGGCAGAGAATGTTATAGGAAGAGCTGACTGACCACACGCACAGGGAGGATTCAGTGAGCCCAAACTTGGTGAAGAGGTTGAGTTGTGTGGTGGTATTCAGGTGGGCAGCGAGGGCTTGGCTTTAGAAGGGAGAGTGCAGCACAGGGCTGAGTCTGAAAGCCAGTGACCTGTCCATCTGGGAACGATCGAGGGTAATGAGAAACACAGATGTGAGGCCTGGAAAAACCAATAGTTCGCTTGGCAAATGGCCTACTGTGCAATCATGAGGACCACTGTGCAACCTAGGGTTCGAGTTCAGACACCCAGGACTTCTGTTACAAGTCAGTTGTGTAACCCCATTGCTCCTGTGAGGGGAAACAGAAGGATCCCCTAAACCTTCTGGGCTGTCTAACCTGGTGTACACAATGGCAAAGCAATGTAGAGGGCTGGTCAGATGGTTCAGTCGGTAAAGGTCCTGACCTCCAAGCCTGATGACCTGAGCTCAGTCCATGGAACTCATGATGGAAGGACCAGGAGAGGACCAGCTCCTGCATGTTGTCCTCTGATGTCCATGAACATGTGTATATCACACGGTAAATATAAAAAAGGGAGAGGCCCCGTCTTGAACAAGGTGGAAGGGAGGGAGCGACACTCAAGGTGTCTGACTTCCGCATGTGCATGCCTGCAGTCACACGCTTATACAAGCTTATCATAGACACACGTGTACACACATCATACAATATAGACACATTTTACACACACACACACACAAAATGGAAATTGATAGAGGAAGATAGTTATATGTTGACCTCTGATGTCTGTGTGCAGGCACACACACATGTGCATACATATAAACAAATACATGTGCATATGACATGCATGTGCCCAGACACAGAGAAAGCTCAGCTGTGGCAGGGCAGGAGGGCGGTGGAGACAGGTCCTCTCCCTCTTGCCTCACTACTTATCTCAAACCAGAGATCAGGAGCTAAGTGTAGTTACTCATTTCTGCAGAACTAATTTTTAACTCATCACTGTGTTGGACATTGGAACTTCCTTTAGGGAGGTAGATGACCTCTGGAGGTCCCACCTAACGGCTAGGGATTGGGGTCATGAGCTCCCACCCCCCCCCGGGGGAAGGAATAAGATGCACCTTAGCTTTTGTTGCCCCTACCTGCTCTGTGAGCCCCAGCTTCACCACAGCCCATGCAGCAGGCTAGAGAGAGTCACTGGTCCCACCAGCTGTGGGCATTGAGCAATCGGGAGCAGCCTTTGGACAGAGGTGAGCCGAGGTGACCACGTTGGTGCTTCCCAAATTTACTCGCATACATGATCCACTAAGGTGGAACCCGCAGAGAAAGGGTGTTTGCACAAGGCCTTGGGTGACTCCGATGAGGTAAACTGTAAGGGTTGTTTTGTACACTGGAAATTTTCCTATCCCTGCTGCAACTCCAGCAGGCATTGCAGATAAACCTGGGAGCCCCCATCCTCTGCCCCCATCCTTGCCTTTTGTGCAGGTCCAGGTAGGGGCACAGGGCGCAATGGGTGGGTGGAATTTAGGAGTGAGGGGATCTAGACACTGATACTGGACAAGTTTGGGGGAGTGTTGGGCCTCGGTGAGCAGTGGCATTGGAAGGTGAGACTGAATCAAGATGGGCGGGGCTTCCTCTGCTATGACAGCTGTCTGGCTCCACACAGAGTCCTAGGGTAAAGCAGCCGTTTCCACCCTTGAGGAAGGGGACAGAACATTCTACAGCAAGGCTAATTTGCAAAGACCAGATTGAAAACCAACAGTGAGGGCCTGGACAGATGGCTCTGGGGTTGAAGTGGTGGCTCAGTGGTTATGAGCACTAACTGTTCTTCCAGAGGTCCTGAGTTCAATTCCCAGCAGCCACATGGTGGCTCATAACCACCTATGATGAAATCTGGTGCTGTCTTCTGGCCTGCAGGGATGCAGGAAGCACACTCTATACATAATAAATAAATAAATCTTTAAAAAGAAAAGGAAACCAACCAAGAAGAATCAAGTTGATGCCTAGGGCCGGCAGTTCCATGGGCCTCCCCTGCCACATGACTTTGGTAACAGACAGAACATTGTCATGGGACACAGAATGGAGATACAAAGGCACAGTTGAGCTTTGGGTGCCCAGGTGGTGCCCAGGTGGTGCCCAGGTGGTGCCCAGGTGGT